CAATGGAAGCAGCAACTTGCTGAGTGCAGAGGGCAAAAAATGGAAAAATTGGAATCAGACTGAGCTTGTAGGGTGAAGGGCTGCAGGCTTCAGAGTCTCAGCAGCCCGAGCACCACAGTTGGGCCAGGGAAAGCAGGGAGGTGACGAGCCTCTTTAGAGCAGGAGTGGGTATGCATCTGGTAGAACAAGCCCAACGATAAAAATGATACTAAAAGCAGTGAAAACGAATGGTGAGTCTTGCAGTAGTGGACCTGAAGTAGCACTTCTGAGGCGTTTATGGGCAGGAATAAGGTTTTGAGGCCTGATTTCTTTTTTCAGTTTTGTTTCATTTTATTGTTTTACTGTTTCTCACTTATCTTTTACAGCTGTGCAGAAAGGATGCAAAACATCGGTGGGCTCGACAGGGGGTGGGTGGTCCGTGCACATCTCCACAGGTCGCACAGGGATGCGGAGGGCTGGGATGTTATTTTCTTATTCTGTGCATGGACTTTGCTTATTAGTTTCTTTGCCAGGTTTCCGGTTCCCTCTAGTGTAAAATTAGCTAAGCTTCCTATCTGCCACAGCAGCGTAAGTGCTTTTTAGTGCCTCCAGATTCGATGAATAAAAAAATTGCAGTAGTCCATTAAGGGAGGATGTACGTTTTGCTTCAGCCAGGATTTCTGCTTTATGTATTTAATATATTGATGCGTGATGCACCTGTTTGTTGGTTTTTAAATTCAATTCTCTTTTTTAACAGGAAAGAGCAAGAGGTTGATTCAAAAGATGCTATTATACTGCATCAATTTTCAAGGCCTAACAATGGTGTTCCAAGTTTATCTCCTTTCTGTCTGAAAATGGAAACTTATTTAAGGATGGCTGATTTACCCTACCAGGTAAATTTGTATGTTTTTCCTTTACATTGCAGTTAGTTATAATCACGTGAAATGGCAAATATGAAAACAACATCTGCCTCGTGGAGGGAGATGTAAACGTATACGTACAGCTAGATGGGTAGACTGCTGCTTGCTTGTCTCTGGTTAAATTTGGGCTGTAACGCTTAAGGGTATGACTTGAAAAGGCAGATTGGTCTAAACAGCTCTAGATTTAATTGGCCAAGCTAAATGACTGTTAGAAATTAATTCTAGTTAGAAATGCTGAAGTGGGAGAATAGTCTGGAGTTTATATAATGCTAAATAATACCCTAAAACTAAAACATAATGTTATTTGGTCGGTGATTTTCACCATGTTAAAGAGATCAAGATTGCAGAGTTGAAATTGCTTATTTTCCCTGAGGGGTTCTCTCCCGTGCTCTCCTTGGAAGATGTATATTCCTTTCATTTAACCTCCCATGGCTGATGCTTCTCCTCTTGTGAAGGAAGACAGGGTTGTTTTTAGAGGTCGTGAATATTGCGTTTTAGTAGTGGCTGTGTTCCCGTTGAGCTGTACCTGATGCCATCCTTCCACAGGGGATGAAGCGCAAGCTACTCCGGTGAATGACAGACAGGAGAACAGAAAATTGAATCTAGCTCTCTTGTTTGTTAAAGTCAGGGTTTAGTTGCGATGCCACTAGTTTGGCTCGCGCTTCATTGCAGTGTTGGTAGACAGGTTATACAGAATGCAAGCTCTTTGAAACGCAGGATGAGTACTTCTTTTTGTTTGTGTATGTGCATCATGTGCATTTGAGGTGATATAACAGTAATGATAAATATGGTAAGGATCCTAGGTGGGAGAAATGTGGGAGAAACATGTCTTTGTTTTTGCAACTGGAGTAAGTTTGGGGTCTTACTTTGTCTGAAAGGGACTGAGCTGTGGGTAAGTTGCATGCTCATCCCTTTTTCTGTTGCGTGTCAAGCTGCTACAAGTACTGTTTTGTTTAGGTTCAATGTTTTAGGAGGGAAAAAGAAATCCTTTTACAATTTGTAATGTATTTGTGATTGATAGCCATCCACCTTCCGATCTGATTAACGCTCCTTTGCCTCAGAAGTGAAAGAAAATGTAATTAGTATATTTTGCTTAAGTCTTTTAAAGCATGGGTTTTAATGCTCATTACCTTAAAATTTAATGGCACTTGATTCAAGTACTGCAGCATATTGAAGGGAGAGATTTCTAGCCCCCCGAATGTATTTTCCTCAGTTTGGTTTACAAAATCTGCGAGATACTGAAGTTTGAGCAGGGCTAGAGGGACTTAAGTTGTATTGCTTCTCAAACCAGTGTAATATGAGTAGAAATTGCACGTTTGAAAGGAAAACTGTAGTTTTAGTGAGATCTGTGTTCTTTCTAATGGCAGTTTGTGCAGTTCAGAGGTTTGGAATGATTAAAATTGCTCTAGTGGACAGTAATTAATGTTGCAGTATAAAAGGTGATTGTCACAGGATTTAATTATTTCTGAAAGATAACACTCCACATCTGTATGATTCAGGATGGAGTCTTTTAGAAAGCTAATACTGGAAAGAAGTGAGTCACTTAATTTTTTGAAAGGGAACGATTTCCAGAAGGTTATTCTCCCCTTTTAATTTTTGATCCTGAAAGTCAGCATTCCTTTCTAGTGTTGCCTACCTCTCTTTATCCCTATTGGCTATACGAGCAGTTGGTTAGCTGTGGACACACTAAGCTGGCCTAGGTCAGCATGACCACCAAGAGCAGCAGTCCTGCTTTTCAGCCATTTAGGTCAGAAATGACATAGTTAGAATCATAAACAAATATTTGTTTAGTTTTAACCCAGATTGGATCCCCAGGCGCTCTGTTCACCGTGCAGATGCTGTGCTGGCACAAGGAGGTGGGTGTCTGGGGGCAAGAACAAACAATTGAAGGTGATGGGAAAGCAAGGTGCTTCTTTTAGCAGCGCTAGCTTATGCTAACTTAAAGCATTTGTGGACCTAGACCTTGCTTTCAGGTAGTTAAAGATAAGGGGGATGAAACCCAATCTCTGAATGCGTACCGCTGCTTCTCCCCTTCTGCAAGTGATGTTGTGGCAGGTAGTTAAGTACTATCTTCTGTTTGATGCACACAAAAATATTCTGCGTTACTGACCTGCTGCGTTGAAGGAAGAGGCCTCAGTGATCTTGGCTGCAGTGTGCAATGGCAGTGCTGCTCTCGGGAGCTGTCACGGGCACCAGATGAGGTGGCCGCTTGGAGGCACGTGAGGCGCAGCTGGTCAGCCCTGCTTTTCATGTGAAATTTGACTGCAGTTATTAAAACAGATACCTGGATTTTAAGGATGTGAGTGTTTTTGTGTTCCCTGTTGCAGTCCAGTCTTCTAAACACACAACTGTTTTTGGCCTGTCCCATTTTAGAGAACCTTTTCCACAGTGTAAATTGAAATACTATCTTTAATTTTGGTCTCTCATACTCTGTAAAAAGTGGAAATACAAGCAAAATGGAGAAATCTAGGTGGGTACAGTCATCTCCTGGCCTTGCGTTGAGATGGGGCCTGACCGTGTTTTGGTTAAGTCACCAAGTCAAGCTAACAGGCTTACACTACTAGAGGAGACCTTGTTTTAGGCACAACAGAGGGCTGTATTTAGGAGAGGTGGTGCTGCTGCCTTCGAATCAGTTTGTCCTACCTCACTTCTCGCCACTCAGTAAGGTGGTTGAGGCAAACTTACAGTTTTCTGTTACATATCTGGATAGCTGTAGTTCCTTATACAGCAGATTGATGTATGGGCTCATCTCCTGTAGGAGTGTGCTCATCCCTTGTTTTTTAGGTTACCAACTGTACATAGGATTTTAGAGTTGAAGCTTTTTAGATGTGAAGGTAAGCTTATGAGCTGAGGAAACAGCTTCTTCTGTCTGAAAGAAGCAGAGATTCTGTTTCTGTCGTTAGGAATGCGGTGCTGCTTTCGGCTGCGAAAAGCAGAGGAGGATAGAAACCGTTGCAGGAGTAAACTCTAGGGGGACATTAGGAACGCCTGTTAGTTGGAGGGTGGAAGATAAGCAGCATGGGTTTGGAGCTGGAATTAATGGCGGATGGGGATTAATTACGTGAAGTATTATCTATATCCAGACTGCCCAGAGACTTTTTTTTTTTAATTTGCTTTTGTTTTCTCCTAACTGCATTACCCGTAGGCCACTATAGGAGACAGAGACACTTGATGGACTTTCCATTAGCCGGCTCAGTTGCTGCCTGAACTGCTTGGCCAGTTTGGCAGGGCACCACCACCAACAGGTCACCGGGACCTCTTCATCTCGTGAATTTTCTCCAGGCCAGTGATACTGATTCTCAGTATTACTGATCTCAGCAATACTGAGAATCAGTATGACTGTTGCTGGGCCGTCCTGCTTGCCCTGACTGAGTCTGTTAATCACTTGACGTTTCCAGTTGTTTGTGACACCTCTGCTGGTGTCCGTGTTTTGCTGTCTCTCTCATCCCTTGCTGAGAGGAGACATACTGCAGGTGATTGCTACGGGCAGTGGTTGCACTGAGTTACAGCCGAGTGCTACGCAGCTCTGTTTTGAAACTGGACACCGAACAGCACCAAGGGCTGGGCTGGTTCAGCGTTTCACTGTGGAGGGAAGTGAGCAGGAGCAAGACTGTTGCTCCCTTGTCATAGTAGCTGCCATGATTTACCTTGGGCAGGGGGTTACCTACCATGTGAGCTGGTGGAGAACTGGGGTGGGTGCGCGCAGGGGTAAGGCAGCCCTCCGAGAGAAAGCGCCTTGCTCCCCATGCACTGGTGGGGACCGTCGTGGAGAAGCTGCAGCTCTCTGGGTTGTGGTTTGTGCTGTGGCTACCGCTGTAGCCACGCTGTGGGTCATCAGCTTAGCAGGAAGGACTTGAAAAGCAGGTGGAGAAAAGGTGCTTCCAGTCAGAACAAATGGTAAAATTTTCTGACTGCTTTGTGAACCAAAAATTATGAACAGTTTCCAGTTGTGACTTACAACATTTGGATTTTGGACTCTTTTGATTTCTTGTGCTTTGACTTTAGTGTACTAGAATATTGAGTAACACATTACACAAAAATGTTTTAATGGCATATGAGAAAAAAAATGGAATTAAGTGTAATATTCCAACCTTTTTCTAACCTGAATTGCTTCAAATAGACGATGTGAAAATCTCAACGCATCATAAGAACATAAGAACACAAGAAACACAGTTTCAAAAAAATTTTCCATCTAAAATAATTCAGGCAGCCCTTCACAGGCTAGGCTGTAATACTAAACCTGACTGTTTTTTTAAAAGTGTATGAATTTGTTGCTTAAAGTTTGTTTTGAAGGAGCCCATCTTGGTTGCTTTTGGAGATCTTTTGGGTGTTCCCCCATGGATAGTAAAGTTCTGAGCTTTTATATAATAAGTATTAGCACAGCTGAAATGTGTGGTTTCATATGAAGTCTATGAAAATGACAACCTCTTTGAGAAGATATATGAAGCAAGGTAAGACATAGGCAGCAGTAATTGAAAATTTGGAGCCTTATTTCTTTTAGGCAGTACTATAAAATGACTCCAGAAGTGCCCTATGCCATTCCGTTTATAAATTCTTCTATAAATGAGCTTCCCAGCAGCTCTTGCTACAGTTGCTTTGTTGGCTGCAGTTAAAGTTAATGTACTATGAGAGGTTTTTTTTTTTTTTTTTTTTTTATGATAGTACCATAGCTTTTCCCTGCTTTACAGCTGGACCAGTTTTTAAGTGGAAAGTTGATAAATATTTGATGGCAATTAGTAGCAGGCATAAGGATACTACAGTTTCAAAGCTAAAAATACCTACTTGAGAACAGCAGATACAAGAACAGTATAACTGAACACTTGTCCAGAGAGTAAGATTTTCTTAGATCATCAAAATATACTTCCAGTTTTGTTTGATAAACTAAATATAATGAAACATGAAAATCCCGAGCATTTTTTTTTTAAGTTTACCTAAACCAACTTTCCTGTAGGAACCTTTGCCCTTATGTTTTTGAAAGTGCAATATTAATGTAGTACTAACAAAAATTTTCTACAAAATATGTGTATATATGTGCTTGTGTGTTTGTGTAGAAAGAAGTTGCTTTTTCTGGCATGCAGAGAATATGGGCTACAGTAATTGAAACATGTAATAAATGTATGTTTAAAGTCCAGTGGCTTCTGTAAAACATCAGCGTTTGTGCATAATGAGGGAAATCCCTTACTAAAAGGCCCTATGGTCCTTAAATAGAGATTAAATCAGCAATGTTCAGTGCCATATAGACACATTACACATCTCTAGAAAAAGCTTATGATTCTTTAATAAATACATGGTGAAAAATCTATGAAAATGTATCAGTTAATTTGGCCCATGAAGAAGGACCTTTTGCTGAAGGAACAGCGTGGAAGGTGAAAAGACGGGGTAGTGTTTGTTAAGTTTCAGGTGTCCAGCGGTTGTAGTGTTTCTACCATTGACCAGACTGATAACCCCCTTTTCACCCACATGTGCAAACTAGATGGACCCCACTACTTTATTCATCCATGCGCAGAGTCAGTAAATGAGATATTATATAACTGACTACTGCTACCATAATATTTGTTTGGGCAGCAATCCCAGAAAAGGCTGCAACCAGAAGGCATTTGTGTTCCCAGCAGCGTTACCCATTTCTTCTGTTTTGATCCAAAAGGAAAGAGCTTCTGGAAATGGCCACACATTCGTAGTGCATTACACATCCATGTTTTGAGCTGTAGCCAAGATGATGTGCATTCAAAGAGCAGGACTGAGTTGGAGTTGCGTTCTGTTGTGTGCTCTCGGCTGCATAATGAGGTACCTTAATCAATCTTAATGGGTTTATGAAAGGTAAATATTTGAGACCCAAATGAGTCAACACAGAACTGTTAACCCTAAACCTTCAGAGATCTGGAACTAGACCCCAAAATACTTAGGGTGACCACCAGGTGGGAGCCTGTTTTTTTTGTAAGTCTCTGTGCTTTATGTTTCTGAGCTAGGATTTTTTCTCTTATTAAACAGCAGTACACCAGGACTCGAATCCTGACAAAGGAACACAGTTCTGCCTTGTGTTGCTACTCAGAAGCAAAAGATAGTTGAAGTCTAATGCCTGACCACATTTTGCAAGCCAGGAATTCCTGTAGAATTTGTTAAATGAGAAATAAGTTTTCTATTTAAACTCCATGTTTCACCTTCTTCAACTGTAAAATGCGGAGAATACCTTATTACTTCTGTAGGAGTGCTACGTTAAGAAGATATATTGGTACAGTAGCAGACTAATGCTATACTCGGCAAAAGTGCTGAGCTTCTTTAGATCCAGTTGTATTAAGTGTGTCTGTAAACACTTGAGATTTCTAAGCTGTGAAATTGTAGGAGCATGTATAAAGGCAGACTTCCCTCCTGCGTGGTGAGAGAATGGTATGCATTTCATTGTACGGTTGTGGGTATATGTTTTATCCTCAGATTTAATGCAGCTATTTGAGATTAGGTAGTGGATTAATCATTGTGAAGTACTTCTAACATGAAAAGTGCTGCTCTGTGTAAGAGCCAAATTTAGGCCTGATTTCTGAGATAAAAAACTTACTTAGACTATTGGGCCCAATCTTTTGGGAGATCAGAGTATCTCCAACCCCTTAAGTAAATAAGCCAGTTCTTAAGTAGTATTAAATCATACAGCCTCTCCTGTGAAAAGTGTTGCAGGACCTGGAAATAGCTATTTTGGTATTGTCGTAGAGAGTAATGCTGTTGCTCTGATTCAGTAGCTACCACTAGTAGAGAGTATTGACTTTTTTTTTGAATGTTTGTTGCATAATGTTGCCTTTAAAACACAAAGTTATTAAAAAAGCTTTATTTTGATATAAAACGAATCTCAAGGGCCTTTTTGTCTGTATGTTTGTTTGTTTACTTGCTTTTTTTCTTAGAACTATTTTGATGGAAAACTTTCCCCTCAAGGGAAAATGCCTTGGATTGAATACAATCACAAAAAGGTGTCTGGCACTGAGTTCATTATTGACTTTTTGGAAGAGAAACTTGGAGTGAATTTAAATAAAAACCTTGGTCCACATGAAAGAGCTGTTTCCAGAGCAGTGACAAAAATGGTGGAGGAGCACTTCTATTGGTAAGCTTGCATGGTAAAGCTAGTTCTGTTCTGATGCTGTCAAACCTGCACCTGCACTTTTGTCTGGAAATGTATGCTTATTTTGTCTTGCAGAAGAGTCAGAAACTCAGTTACTAATTTCACAAGTCTTCTCACTCTAGGGAGCTGGTGCTTCTTTGTGCTCATGCTAGCATGAATGAGGAGTAACTCTGGGAGCTGTAATGATGTGTAGGTGAAGGAAGGAGTCAGGCCCTTTGCCCCCAACTTTGCAGAAGAGAGCAACAGTAGGCTCCGTCCTGTTGCATATGGCCTTTATAACTAGAGCAACAGCCTTCTTAATAAAGAGCTAAAAATCAAGATGACTAAATGCTTTTGTAGTTTGGCAGGGGAAAACCCCCAGCAAATCCAGAATTTGGGGTTAATCAAAAATACTATGTTTTTAGTTACTGATTTTAATTATCTGTGTGATTACAATATGTATTACTGCCTTTCCTTCAACACAGAATACTCCTGTTAATATATTTTGTTACCTATTGTGCCAGCTGGTAGGATACAGTATTAGTCGCAGTATCCTGAGAAGTACAGTATCCAACTGAAGTATATATGCGAATGAAAATCTGAATAAAACCGTTGGTATTTAATACACTTTACTCTCACCTTTTTAAAAAAAAAAAAAAGTATCTGTGTTTTTTTTTTTCCCTCTTTACATTTTCAGTCCTTGTTTAAGTGTCCTTTCAAAAGTGGATTCATGGAAGTAAAAGATGGACATGGCCTCTTGTGCCTGCAGAGGTATCCAAAGCAGGATCCAGGGCTTGTTCTCAACGGTTTGCTTTCTATCATGCATTTAAGCCCATGCTCTACTGAGTCTTAACATTTGTGTTGCACTTTTTTTTTTCTTCTAAAAAGTGTGATCTAAATTGACAGCAATTGCCTATTTTTTCCTTTATCTTCTTATTGAAGATGAACAGCAATATGTGTACATGTTTATCTTCAAGTCATCTGTACTGTTTCCTGGGAACAATTTTAGCATTTAGTAGACAGATTTAAGTCATTTGGTTTAGAAACATAATCCTTCCTTTTCAATCTTTGACCTTTATCAATTATACCCATTCTGCAGTGACATATCCTCAAAAATCTAATTACTGTTCCCAGACTTCAGTAGCCTGCAAATGTGACTTTTTTTTTTTGTTCTTTTTTTCCCAATTAATGTAGCTGTCAAAGGACGATAAGGCCTCTTAATCCTCTAATGCTCCATCTCCTTGCCTTAGTATTGGTTGTTTCGTGATCTGTGGACTTGCGGCTTTAAATATAACATTTTTGATAAGAAACATACACAGGTATTGTGTGTCTTAATTATAATCACTCTTTTCTTTGTGAAGCTCTTAGCTGTCTAGCCATGCTCCCCACTGAGCCGACTCAGCACCACTGGGTGCAAAATGGGGGAGGTGGGGAGGGGTATTGCAAATTCAAGTGTTGACTCAGAGAGGTGGCGTTGAAAAGGATGGACAAAGCTAAAAGAATTAAGACGTGTCTGGTTGTGTTTCCATGTGTCCTTTTCTATTTAATCCTGGGGTAAGTTTCACTAAGGCACATCCTTGGCTTGTATTATATCCTTGCTTTATATCCTTGCTGTGTGGCTGTACCAGAGGTTTGCTACATTGGTGTGGTTATGCTATGCCCATTCCCTA